CACACACAAACACACACACACACACACACACACATACACACATGCTTGTATTTACACACACAGGCCTGCACACTTCTGCATTCACACTCTCACACTCTCACACTCTCACACTCTCACACACTTTACAGCGGCTATGGAATCAGGCTTTGTTCTGTTTGGAAAGGAGTTTACAACAACGCGGACTTCGAGCAAACAGAAACGGAAAAAATAAACCGACATATTATCAAAGAGATAATATATGAGGCAGCGTGGTGGAATCAGACTCTCGTCAAAATAATCAAAGTGAAGAAACTTGCATTTTTCCGCAGGTTTATGAATTTTTATCAAATTTTTGTTATTTGGTTCAACACTTTTCATGCTTATTAAAGAACTCATTTCGGTGTGAATTTTTCTGAAAAATGCTGATTAAAGGCACAAAAAATGTAAATTTTCAGTTACCACGGACTCTTAAGCTAAGGAAATAACTCATCTTTGGTGGCCATTTTCTCACTAATTTTACCTCCGAAAAAAGGTGACCCCCACCTCCTTCATTCGCAAATATCTCGACCTGTATTCAAATGGATATGTTTTTCACCCAAATAAAGACAAGTGAACAAGCTTTAAGATGATACCAGTAACTCTACAAGCCCCAAAAAATGACGAGAGCCTGATTCCACCACGCTGCCACACACATTTTAAGAGAGAACTGTATTCACACGACATAATGTTCTGCATTCTTCAAAATAAAACTGAATTCGTTTTAACAGTAAACGTCTTCCCAGAAAAAAAATGAATTCGCTTTTACGGTCTATGTCCTCAAGAAAAAAAGGAATTCTTTGAAATAGTCTAGGCTCTCCATCCAAAAAAAATGAATGCATTTAAACGGTATACGCTCTCCATCCAAAAAAATGAATGCATTTAAAGGGCATAAAGTGGTCGCCAACGGTGCGTTTGGGTGCAGGCAAAGTAAGCTTCATAGAAAGACGAGCCGCAAACATCTCTATGTATCGGTACCTCAGATTTACAAAGTTCTCTCTGCTCAATACCTACATCTAGATCTAGATCTAGTTTTGAGAAATTAGACGTAAAAAAAAAATTGGGTTTCATATCATGTCAAGCTTTTCGAATGCAATATTCATTGAATATTATCTCGATAGACGGCTCCCAATAATCTTACGATTTTGATAGCTATAGCTGATGGAACGTGTGGTATCTGAACTCACTTCATAAGTAACTCAAAACGGCCAGAAATGTGGGATAGAACTTTGCAAATCTGAGGTGGCGAAAGGGCACGTAAAGCACAGATCCCGCGGGTGTTTGGCGGGTGCTCTGGTGTGGTTTGCCTCTTCTTTTCTATCAAACATCGATCGTCCTTATCTCCCCTGTGGGTGGTTGGCGGGTGCTCTGGTATGGTTTGCTTCTTCTTTCCTATCAAACATCTATCGTCCTTATCTCCCCTTCTTCTTTTTTATATTAATTTGTTACTCTTTTGTAACACCTCTAATCTTCTGGCGCTCATATGACCTTATGCGGTTGTGAGCGCCGTAAAACCTCTACTAAAACAACAACAAAAAAGCACGGATCCCGCGGGTGTTTGGGGGTAAACTCGAACCCAAC